CTTCGTTGTCTTTTGAATTCTGATTTCGCGAAAATAAATGTGCAGGATGAATGAAATTAGTTTGAAAATGATAAAGTAACTCTGACGATCGCGTATCCACGTCTACTAGATTTATAGTTTCGAATAGTAATCATGGATTAAGTATGCGTGGACGAAACGAGCTCTTTGCACGCGAGTGACGTTACATTCTTGCAATTGAACAAACTTGTTTCGTTAAAAATAGTGCGTCGTATCGAAAGAAGCGGTTGTTTGCAATGGTTGCGGTACAATTTCTGATACTGCCCTCTTTTTATTATACCATTCAGCTCCGCGGCAGCACCCACGCGGTGAAATCAATGCAGAATTACATTCGCAGAAAGTCTAGATATACTATTCAAACATTCGTTGAGTTATTCTATGATACACTACATGTAAGTGCTCGATATACATGTATAATATACGATATCTGTACTGGCGTCGAGAGAGCGAAGAATTATCAAAGATAGACTAAAAATATCTAGCAATTTTCGAGCTGCGTCAACCAATGCGAAAAAAAGTATGTTACAGCCTGTATCTTCTCTTTCACTCATTCCACCTGAAAGACCCAACATTACCAATGCACTATTTTAATAATTAAAAATAATCAAGCCCTCGACAATCGAAATGACTAAATTTTCCACGATTTTGAAAAATGTCTATTCGTTTTACAGTTCAGATTCGAACGGCTATCGCGCCAAATAGTATTGGTAAACAAGTATGTATACAATAATGATAGTGCTCATAACTAATGATACCGTAGCGTATCAGTGCACGTGACAAAATAAGACAAGAAGTGTCTGCGTATAACTACAGTAATCGAATGACTCGATGTAAAAATCCATGTTGAGCACACGACAAATCACGATCACTACTGCATCACGCAGCGATAGGCGCGTAATCATTTCCAGTACGGCGTAACGCGTAGTATCAGTAAAGAACATGGTAGACTACGATTCGCGATGAGATAACATCCGACGAACATACTATGTATCGTTGACCTTGTTAGTTGATAGCTGGTAACTATTAAAAGTGCCGTTTAAAAACATTGTCGACGAAAATAATAACTAACGGTTCGCGACCGGCTTGTGCGCTATTACAAGCGTGCTCATTCATTTACTTATTCATGAAGAAATGCACGCGGACTTGCTTTGCCACGATTAGTAAGCAAATCACATTTTAAAGCTGCGACACATTCGACTGGGCCACGCCGTAAATCTCGCCCGATATGTAATTCCCTATGCGCTTGTTAAATTTACGAGCCATGATTTTGCCTGAAGAAGCTGCCTGAAGAAGCTGATATAAACGGTCGCGTCGGACTCGTCAAACTTGAAACCGAAATAAAAACTCGTCGTCGTACTGTGTACTGTACACTCAAGTTATTAACTTGTTGTTTGTTTAACACTCGAAAGGGGTGGTTCATAAATATTATATAAACGCGAACCGATACACTTGTAACAATTTTCTCCACCCACCGGAATAAAACGACCTCGTAAACATTTTTTAAATCTATTCTTTATACGTCCTTTTCTGTCATCCGCTTTTAGAGATCAGATCTCATGTATCCTTCGGATTTTCCGCATTCATAACAGAAATACAAGAAATATGAAGAATACGTGGAAAAACATGTAGAACATCAAAAGTATAAAACGCGTTATTATCTTTGAAGAATAAAAGCTTTTTTAAATTGCAATCATAAATGTTTCGTTTGGTATAAAAATTCGCAATCTAGATTGTTCACTGCTAAAAATAATAACATGTTTAAAAGGAATTCCTTATCGATAAACGACCAAGTTAACAGATTAAATATTGTGCAGAGTAGGTGCGTATATCTGTACTTTTTACAATGTCCTTTTCCTCAGGTAACAAGCCAAAGAAACCTGTATTACGTCGCATGCATTCTTCAATATCATTATATGCATTGGAATATTCCCTCGAATTTTTCAAACAAATTGCAAAACCATTGCAACTTGTTTACGGTAAGTGATAAGATAGCGAGACTACGTAAATGCTGCAAGGTTCTTACTATGTTCTAAATAATTTTGTTAAGTTAGAACTGTAAGGGATGCATTTCCGACGTTTAATCTATTTTTCGATCACGGCACAAATACATTTGTGAAAAGAACAAGTCGGAATATCTTTTAAGATAACAAATAATCATCGCAAACAATAAATCTATTATTTAGCATTATTACCCAGATAATAAAACGCGGATAAATTTCCATATACTTTCACAACAACTGACTAACAAATATATTTAAAAAAAAAACCCGCTGGAATAGAATTCGAAGTTGAAACAAATTTCGCTGCTAGCCGCGCATCGGTCGTGGCAAATATTTTGGTCATCGTGTTGGAACGATATTTCATTGGCCTCGCAGCTGCACCTGCGGCAGGTGCAACTCCGATGAAAATAAGAAATCCACGAGCCGCGGATTTGACTAAAGTAAAGAATGACCGCTTGAATCGTTGAACCTGATCGCATCGCGCCAGGGGGATTAAAATCGTTAGTTTCTTACGCGCTTAAGCCGCGTATCCACTTTTATCGTACTCTCATCTTGTGTCACCATTGCGTTTTGCCATGAATCAGCGCGTTCGGGATCCAACGAACCATCCATAACGTTTACAGCTACGTACGCAACGTTGTTACGCAACGGTGATACGAGAACATGATACGAGTGGGGCGACTCGAACATGTCGACGAACACTCGGAAAATCGCGTCGAAGAGGAACGGCATTCTGAAACACGGGTTGCAGCATCTTTCCCTTCGCATATATGCGAGACCTATAACTACCGAGAATAAATGTCACCCAGTCAGGCATGTGCGCGCGTCACTTGCCTGACCTAGTTTAATCTACACGATCATCCTTCTGTGCTAATTAAGTAGACACGTCCGTTTCATTAACAGACCACTCTCTTTGCTACGCTTGATAATGTCTGTAGACTTAAAATCAGTCTCGATAAGGCTCGAGTAATAATTGCACGCAAGAAAGATTGTGTGTTATAAAGTCGTTAGCAAACGATTATTTACCAATTGATTGAAAATAATCAATTTTTTAAAGACTATTTGCTCGCTGTGTCTGTTCATAGTGTATAATCAAGGGTGTTGAGGCATTCGAGTACCGATCGAGTTGAAACGAGAAGGGTTCTCAGTGACATTCTTTCTATAAATACAGCAGAACAGAAGCAAGGTATCTGGGTCAAGAGGAACGAACCGTTTAAAGGCGTTTGCACTTCTCTATTTCGTTCGACTACTGTATAAAAAAGAGTATTTTAGGTCAGTAATTTCGATAAACGTGTATCTACATCCTTGCTGGAGAATATTAATCATCTTTAAATTTAATAAACTTCGACTCAGGCTATCAAATCGAATTCGAACGAAATGTTATCAACGCGAACAAAAAAACAGAGAATGAAGGTAGAAGCATATGAGATAAGCGTGTTCTTTCTTATTAATCATATCAACTACGTTACTGCAAGTTCAATTGGTGCCTAAGCGCGCGTTGAAAAGAAGAGGCGGATGACAAATATTTCAAACGCTGACCTCTATCGGTATATCATACATAGGCAGTGAGTGGAGTTTAGCCAATTAACAACTGTTTTATCGGCCGAGAAAATCCTGGGGCAATGACCTCGATTTTGAGGAACGCTTGACCTATATTCTATATATCACTAATATATCCAACGCGCATGTGTGCATCTCGATGATAGTATTCTATTATTTATCCTCGTAATCAAGTGTAATCGATTGTTTTATACTCTTCAATATTCGCAGCTTTTTATCGTCAAACTCGAAATTAATAAGAATCCAGCTCTGTGTACGATCTGTTCGTGTATAAAAGCGTTCATTGATATTTCGAGAAGCGTGGTATCAAATAAAACGAAGGTCACATCACGGTTCTTGATTGTACAGCGTCACTATGCAGAACCTCGCTCTCTATTAATTCATTCTTAGCGATAACGTAAGACGAGAGCGAATATAATATTCGGCAACGAATGAATTAATTGCTAAGTCGAACGAAAGGGGTGAAACTATGAAACACTATAAGTACTGTATGAACGTGTGGACGTGTTCACGGCCATTGCCAGTGTAATCGCTCTAAATAGCTAATTAACGACAAACATTTTAACTTAGGTCAATACGTGATTAATCACGGCGTTTAGGTGTCACAGACGATGATTGCTACTATTAAAAATACAGACTTCGATCCGACTATTATCTGGTTATCTAAAATCTGAAACGTTCCGACTATCGCAACATTTCGGTAATATTATCGTTTCGTTCGACTCACGAACGGTTGAACATTAAATGTCCAGGTCGATCAAGTTAGAACGAATTGAAAATATAATTATACATTATTGTCCCGTGGTCAGGGACGGTTAATGGGAAAGGTTGAATGAGGGCAACATCCTACGAGTCAATGTCCTGTTGATGACAACAGAGAACACACCCGATTCAGGTCGCGAACAACTCGAGGAGTTACGTGACAATAAACAGAATTATTTTTTAAGCGGTTCACGTTGACCGACGAATGTGTTAACAACCGTGCTCGTAGATAGGAGAAGTTAATAATACAGTATCGCGGCGTTGTTAAAAATGCTTTCAAGAACTGCTTACCTTCCACCTCGAGGACAATGTCAATTATACGTTTGACGATCCAATGGGAAGAAAAATTCGTTTCAGCCGCGAGGGGCTGTTATCTTCGTCACAAAGCACCGCACATATTATCACTGAGCATCGCACCTTCTCATCCCGACGTTGTCTCCTCCGTTTAATAGAATGTTCGTCACAAAACAAACGCAATTTGCACCAGTTCACGTTCGTACTCGATGCAATGCCGCCATATTTCCTGTTATTCCGACCACAAGTCCGACTGTGCGGTATATACACGTACACGATACGATATTCGACGATCCAAGGTGAGCCTACGCAGCACGTTTCGTGTGCCTCAGTCACGCCCTCATCTGGCCCGATTTAGAAAGTAACACGTATGAGCGAAGATAAAATAGACACTTCATACGTTTTAAAAGTATTTCAGATAATGTAAATGTTAATCATTTATTCGTTGTAGTCGTAGTTTCGCTACGTTGGAAAACGATTCGATAGTAAAAACGAAAATCTTAATTTGTACAGTTTATATTTTTATACATCGAATGTAACGTAAATCAAAACATAACCTGAGACTCATGTGTCAGTAAAGTTAGGTACTGAGTGTTTCAAAGTGTTTCAATGTGAAGATTTTATCGTGATCAAAGTGAATTGCAATGGAACAACTACAAACCGCACTAACGGCGATTAAAGTGTTACGTTCGAGCGTCGGCCAGGTGTTCGATTCACTCGGGAACGGATTACGAGCCGAACATGGAGAAGAAAACAAGGAAAATAAATATTTACTAGAGTTACAGGAACTTTTAACAACTGTTAATGTTAATTTAAGGTGAAGTTCATAAATTAGTCTTTGATAATGAATATTAAATGTTAGATACATAATACTATATTATTACATTCAGGGATGTCGAGCAAGCTGTAGGCAGCTTAAATCCACCACCAGGTCCATTTAATTTAGCAAGCACTACGTATCTCACTCAGGAAACGACGCAAGAAAGACAAGCATTATATAGCACATTAGTTAACAGTTACAAATGGACAGATAAAGTTCATGAGTATAGCAACGTTGCTCAAGTATTACTTAGTCAAAATTCTTTAAAGAGATCCTACAATACTACTAGCAGAGCTAAAAGAGGAAGGGTCCAAACGAGTAATCATAATGTTCCTCAACAGTGAGTAAAAGAATTTTAATATCCAACAGCATAAGCTATTTGTAATTAAATATCCTATAATAATTTATGTACATTTCATGTTGCAGACAAGTTGATTCTCTAATAGCCTCATTTGATAGACTTTTCAATGACATGACAGTATCCGTATCTCGTCCGTTTGCATCAAACGCAGTATTACACGTTACCTTAGGACATGTTTTAAAAGGAGTGATAGCATTTAAAGGTTTAATGATCGAATGGGTAGTAGTCAAAGGGTACGGGGAAACTATGGACCTATGGACAGAATCTAGGCACAAAGTATTCAGGAAAGTGACTGAAAATGCTCACGCCGCTATGTTACATTTTTATTCGCCAGCGTTACCTGAATTGGCTGTTCGATCATTTATGGTGAGAGAATGTCCGACAGATTTCGAGCGAGAGGTATATTGATAACTGGAAATTCAATGTTTCTTCTTGCAGACTTGGTTTCACAGTCTAAATAATTTATTCAGTGAACCATGCAAACGTTGTGGGTTACATCTCCACAGTGCCTCGCCTCCAACGTGGAGAGATTTTCGTACCTTAGAACCATATCATCAAGAATGTAAACCATAAGTTTTCTTAGTATAATTTTCAATAATAAATATAATTTTTTATGAAATATATCTATGTTGCTTTATATTACTAATTGTCTAATCATCGAACAGTATAACTTTTTCCATTCGTCGAATCTTCGACATTTAACAGAGATATCTAAGCGTTCTGTTCAATATGAATCAAAGTCAACCCTTTTCTTACATACAATTAAAAATACCACTTTTACTTAGTAAATATTTTTATTTTTAGATTTTAAAAGATTTCGTGTATGACCTTTCCATTTAAATATATCTATTCGGCTTAAATACATTAATCATAAGTAATTAAAATGTTATAGACAATTGCTACGCATATATACAATCGTAAATTAAACCGTATTGCAGCGTTACAGTATTTTTTGGATACAAACCTGAAATCAAATTGTAAAAAATTAAAAATAAAATACATCCCTATAAAATCATTGTACAAATAACGCATATTTCTGTATAATGATATATCAAAAGAAGCAAATAATAAAAGAATTCTGATTTATTAAAGTTTCGTGTTAAGAATTTTTTAATTCTGTGATTCATCTATTATTTTAAATAATAAATACGATTTTTAAATGAAACATAATGCTTTTATAGAATCGAACTAAATCGTATTTCTCAGAGAAGTCGAATTAGAGAGTGGAAAGCCGCATGTTTATCGGAGAAACACTTATTCTCGTGCTAAGATTTACGTATAATATACAAATGAGCAGCCATAAATTTTTTTTCTTGTTGGGAATATAGTAGCTTTGCGATCAATTCTTTTTTTTTTAATCTGTACCCTACATACGTATGTATAATATACATACATACCGTTTCTTAACATTCTTACGTGCTATGCGTTTAATTTTACATACCTCTAGTTAATATTACGTAAATATAATTACGTTATAAGTATATGTACTTTTCACATAACTGTACACATTCACATTTTCGAATATCGACGCTCTCCGTGAAGCGCAAGTCGTTTGAGTGGCAGTGAACTTATTTTATATACCGTCTATTACGATCACTTTAATGGACTCTCTCCAATTTTCATTTCTCTTCGTTTCTTTTTTCTGTGTCGTCTTCCTTTAAGGCTTTATGAACGTTGCAATACTCTCAGTGAATTTAGTACCATTGACCCGAAACTATATATGCAATCATATATATGTCGTTACTGATCTCGTTATCAAAGTCGTGGTAAGTGCAGAATAGGTCCTCGCTCAAAGGTTTGCCGGTTACATGTATATGTATATATGTATATTTATATATGGATAACGTTACAATTTTAGAAACGAGTTTACTTATTTTTATATATCGTTACGTGTGAATGAATTATAGTGAAATTAATTCTCTGGTACACGAGAGGAATCGTGTTCTCCCTTCTTTTTTTGTCGCTTTGTTTTTCTATCTCGTTAAAGCACTTTGAACATCTACACATTAGTTTAGACCCTCGGGAACAAGAGATACATCTCGTATTTTGTAGAATTCGTAGATGTAACACACGTGGCATAACTGCATATATCGTTTATCCCATCGTCGCGTTCATCTAACGACCGTAATGTGTAGATTGGAATTTTAATTGCGGCGAAAGTAGAAAAATTTCTTCGGGTTTCGTTTCTCTCTCCGTTTTGTAGACTCTATTTGTCGATCTCGAGATGTTCGGTGAACGTATTATCACAGCATGCCTTTTCTCAACAACAGAAATCATATCGTGATGTCCGGATACTCGCGGTTAAACCTAAATCCACGTCTACGTAGGTGTAATTATCGCGAGTAATGCAACTACTGTATCGGTGATCTCACGTTTGCACGAATAAACGTGAACACGTGAAAAGTGAATTTCTTTCGCGTATCTTAAAATATCGTTTCTGACGCGGTACAGGGTTCTCCCTCGAATCCGAACCCGTCGGTCTTATCTATCGTAGATGCATGTACAATATATGTACATAATTAGTTCGAGTCGGAGTAATTGCAACTACGGTTATTTATAGTTCTCGTGTTCGAAGCTTGTAATAAGTTTAAAAAATGGATATGCTACCAGCACTCGGTCCGCAATTATTGTACAGCCATAAACACGAGTGGGAGAACGTGTAAGATGTCATTCTCTTTTTATTTAACACGCTCGTTTCACTATCGTTTTCATTAGTTCCTTAAATTGCACCATGCTACCATAAACTATTAATTGAAGAGTCTCAGGGAATAAGGGCGTTCCTATCGAAATTAGACTGTTTTATCAATTAGATCGATACTGTTGATTTGCATGTCGCAAGAAATGGTAAAACGAAAAATGGTACTTCTTGAGAAAAGTCCTCGTCCCTCGCAACTCTTCAGTCACAGCGTATAGCATACGTACATATATGTACGTATATCGTATATTTATGTATGTACATGCATGCACTCGTCACACGTAAATTGGCACCCATTAATATTCGGACACATTTCAAAATTGAATAACTTTTTTAATATTGTACCAAACTGGTTTAACTTGGTCCAATATTAAAAAAGTTATTCAATTTTGAAACGTGTCCGAATGTTAATGAGAGTCACCGTATGTATATGAATATCTAGCCTATTTATCGACGTACACATGTCGACGTTTCATCCGTAATCAATAGTCGAAGTTCCGGTGATCTCTAATTGCAGGAGATCCATTTTAGCATATATTCAGTTCAATAGCTTGTTATTGCCTTTCTCACTGATTCTGTATGATTTGGACAGCTTATAATTAAAAGTCTCTCTTTCATCTCGATTCATCCTCCTCCGTATTAATTATATTTAACTTGTTCAGTTCACTGCTGATCGTGTTATTTATTTCATTTATTCTATTCTACCTGTTGTACATATTGCGATTATACCGCAATACATATTATATTCCGTATAATGAATCGGTTCGAAATCGTTTAAACTTTAATCTACCTAATGCGATCTAACGTGCACGCGAGAAAGAGTTCACCGTCGTCGTCGTCGTTCATGATTCCCTTGATCATTCCGTTTCTAAACGATGTATAAAATGAAAATTATACACACACGATGTCCTGTAAGAGTGAAAATAAGGAGAAATCGTAATTATACGTGTATAAAATAATTTTCAGCGAGTATCCTAATGTTTCATTCGTTTTCCAAGGTAAAGGGGTTGTATAGGAACAGTGTTTCCGGCCCCGTAAACTATAACGCATAAAAACTGGCAGCGAAGATCAATCGTATCCACGTTTGGCTTCGATTTTCGAAGCAGAGCCTGTAATCAGATCCTGCAGCTTCCTCGACCATTTAAATTTTCAATTAACCCTCAACACATATATTAACATTAATAATCAATAATAAGAATAATTAAACTACTTTCAATTTGTGCGTCAACTTAAAATTCGAATAGCCGAGTCTGTTTCACGTCTGCATAACAAGGCGAGCTCTGCTTCCAAAATTAAAACAAAATGTAGGTACAGACGATTATGGACTGTGAGACAGATTCGTGCTTGCATCTGCTCACAAATTCTTTGCAACGATGGCGCATTTACGTTTAGAGAATCTCGTCGACGGGGAGTCAACGAAATAGGTTCGATCTGAGCGATCGGTTAATCAATATGTGTCGTCGAATAATACAAAAACCGGTCGAACGACGCGATTTAGTTTCGTGTAACGCTGCTCCGAATAGAGAATCGAACGTGGAATAGTTATAGGATTATCATACATCTTACGCAACGGCTTGGTAAGTACGATGGGTGTATACAGTATATATGTACATGTATATACACGTAAGGGAAGTTCCTCTTCGTAAGGAGAGTTCGCGTAACATCAAACGACATGCACTTTGGCGTGTAAAACGTTAACGACGAAAAAGTAGTAAGAAAAGGCATGCCTCTGAACGTACGAGGTACCACAGAATTTTCTGGTCCAGACGAAAGGGTGCGTCGATCGTTGGAAAATCTGTAACGCCTATATCGTTAAAATGGTATCTTGAAAAATTCGTCAATTAAATCCTAGATTCGTTCTTTCGTTTGCGTAAAATTGGCGAGGAATTAAATCTACCTTCGCAGTTCTGAAACGATCGTTCAACGAGACAAATTGATCCAGGTTCATTATAATTCAAAGGTTCGCGTTAATCGACACCCGTTCGTTTGTACGATCGTCCTCGTACACTTTTATAAGGTAAATTGGAAATGTCGCTGTTAGGCACCGTACGAGAATTACGTTATTGTATGTACGCGGTTGTTGATATGCAGTCGAAACGGATATTGAATAAACGCACTCCAAAATGGAATGAAATTTTTAACATCGGACGTACTCATTCTATGCAGTGCGAGCTTTAATAACAATTCGAGTTACGTGCATGTATGATTATTTGAACTTTAACGTGTATTTAAGGATGTATTGGCTATACAGTCAATCCCAAAAGTTTATGCACCGTCATATCAAATCACTTCATATTCTAATTTTAAAATAAGGTCATTATAGGGCTCTCTCCTGATACGTTACCCAAAGAGCGAGCTATCTTAAGACGTTTTCAATTACTATTAAAGATCCCGATAAAAGAAACGCGACGTTTACTTTTCCCCACGCAATTTAGATTAACTTCTTGCCATTGCATAGTAAATTAACTCTGTTTTAATTAACTCCCATAGAAGAGTAAGTTAGTCCGGTATTAAAAGAGTTACTCAATTCTGAGGTGGCGTCAACTTAATGCCCGTTTCGACTGTTCTTAACGATCGTAATCGTTAAAATGACATTATTACGAATTTCAGTGTTTCGTCTGAACGACACACAGCGTCGAGTGAATAATAATTTGGTCGATACCGGATCCGAAACACATCTCCCCGATTGGTTTACGTTCGTCGAATTCAATCTGTCGGTTAAACATATATGATCGTAACGCATAATCATAGTACAGTGCAACGACGTATAAAGACGACAGTGATACAAAATGACATGTAATTCGAATAAACCCTATGAAATAAACGATATAAAAGTGAAGTGTATAGATATTGTATACCGTTCCTCCTTTCGTATTCTCCCAGGGTTTTCGTTCAACGATTCGTCGCGTTTAACAATTACGTTACGTTCTATGCGTAGCTTCGATGTTGCACGAAGTTCGAACATGCTGTTCTATAGACAGTGATCACGGTCCAACCTGTTTAGCTCTCGGTATCGTAATTCATCTCTCGAGGGTACATACGTCTAGGCACAATCACTTTCGCAACATATCGTTGGACTCGTTTTTTTTTTTTTTTTTCGAGGCTCTTCGTCGCCTCGTCCCTTCCCTCGTTTCACGTGGAAAAAGAATTCGCATTTCCCTACACCGAATCGTTAAGCATAATCGAGCCACCGACGAGTCTGTCCCACCCGCACTTATAATAATATCATCGTCACTCTATCCGTTACAAAAAATTGTAACTTCCAATACTCTATTGAAATTGATGTTTCAATTTCTCACACGTCCACCCGCGAGAGATATTCGCGGGTCCGACGTGCCCTTTTCAACGGATGCGATCCGGTCTATCGTTGCTGTGCCATCAAACGATTAGGCACGGTAACACGCCTCGTTACTATCGAAATTCTCCATGCCGCCGGTCCAGTCGACGGTCATGTTCACTGCTCGTAGACTGCGTAAACTGTTCCGCAGGAAGACCGCGCAGGCCTTGCTCCTTTCCGTGATGATCTCGTAAAGCTGATCCTCCAGCGTGAGGGTGTTGGTGATGAGCAGCAGCGGCAGTGGTATCGACGCGTTCATAATCACTAGATTACCAATATTAAGAGGAGCTATTTCCCATTGTCAGACACCGCTGTTCGGAAAGCGTGGCGGGGGAAGCGGGGGCGGTGGTCTCTCCGGTTGAGCGGGTGCGCCGGAAGATCGCTCGGACCCAGCTGCAAACACAACTGTTCGCCCACGTTAATCGTATGCACGTTTTTCACCGATCCTCTTTCTTATCGCGTTCAGAGACACGCGATTCGTTAACAAACATTACACTTGGCATTCATCTACCGAACCGTTTCAATTTAAATAGACGACAAATAGCAAGCGCCTACGACTTCTGTAGCAGTTTTTAAGTTGACATACTAGCTGAGAGAAAAGAAAAATTAGCTTCAGTTAATATCGTTCGTGAACGTCTCGATCCAATTGAGATATAAAACCGCACGAACAGATGTGGACACGATGACAGATACTCAGGCGCATCTAAAAACGGATTTGTTAAAAATGTTGGTCTGCTTTATCTAAATTGGATCTCGTCAAATTTTCATTTAATTTAAACGAGTAAACTACTTAGTATTTATTTAGCATATCTTCAGTAACTTCAAGTTGGCGGAAATAAGTGATGCTTAGAGATTTCATCAATAATTTTTTACAAAGATGATTTACAAATAAATTCTTTTCGAATCCCAATGAAACGGCGAAGAATCGTCATTTACCAATTTGAAATTAATGAAAGAACTCTTGCAATTGCCTTAAAAAAAAATTAAACAGATTCTTCGAAGAATTTGTGCGAAAAATTAAATTATGTGATACTTGTATCATGTATTTTGTCTCGAGAGTGAAAGTGAGGAAAAGTGAATGTACTTACTATAAAATATGTACCTGTGTTTTATCTCTATCCCCCTAATAAAGTAAGTTTGGAAATTAAAGTATAAAGTTCTCATTTCCTTTTTATTCGTTATCGTTATATACTACAGTTGAATGATTTTCAGAAAATGATTCGAGTCTCGCTATGTCGGCAACCCGAATACACGACGCAAAAGTGCGCTGCGTCGTTACAACGTTATTCAAGAATATAATCACGTTCGACAGTTAGCATTTCCCGTAGTTGTTTAAAAAATACCTGGAAAAAAGAATATGAAACCTTTTTTCTCGATACACTCGTAACCACATTTATTATTAATAGGGTCGCGACCTGCATATTCATTTTTATGCACGTGACAGGTATATACAGCGTTTCTCCCTGATCTTGAAAAATATATTCGATATGTTTGTCGACATTTAAACGTGTACATTGATTGTTGTCAGTGTGCACCGTATATAATTAACAGAAAAACTGGCTCTACGTTGTTTCTCTTAGCACGTAAACGATAAATTGCCGAAGGATAAGAAAATGTGAAAATAAAAATAAGCAATATTAATATATTTACTATTCATAAATCGCTCTCTGCCTGTTTTTAATCTAAACAATGCGAATTACATGCTGACATGCCCATTACACCATTCATGCTCCAACTGCGGTAGTACTGAAGTCGGTTTTACAGTTTTCATATAAAAAATAATGTCAATGTGGTATACATATATATATGTGTATATATATATATAACTTGTTTTTAAATCTTGTACGTTTAACGTTCGTATGACTCCTCGTCCTCTCTATCTCTATGCCTTTACATTTACAAATTGATCTGTGATCACCATACGTGTCGAATGTGAAATCGTTAATGGCCTACATCCATTTAAACTACTACAAAGGCCAGTGTTCATAGCACATAGTGATGACGTACTTATGTGCTCTTATAATTAAAATGGAAAATGGAGACAATGTATCTACCAGTTTTATTTAGAAGAATCGTAGGAATACTTGAAATCGACTAGAATCAGATAATACAGTAAGTAACAGGAAAACAAATTTATCGTGTTGCACATATAGATGACAGAAGACACAGTGTAGGTGTGTACGTGTATAGAGCTTATAACGCCGAGGATTGAACTATCACGAAAATAAATGAATTGCACACGTACGTCGTATGCCTGTTCGCGCAGCGATTTACATATTTACAATAGCTGTTATTCACGTAGGTGCGCGATATCAGAACTATAAGCTCTATTCGAAACTGATGTACGTGGTTGGACTCTAATCAACTTTTAGTCGTGTAATGGTGTGAGTGTTCGAAGCGGTGTGGGCAATGAAAAGCTAAAATAGAACTGTATGACGATAATGAAATGCAAGTAGTAAGATAGAGTGAAAATTTGAAACAGAGACAAGGTATGTAGTCAGTTTTCTTGCCTGCGATAAACGTTATTGAAATAATGACGAAATTAAATGTTCAAGTAAATAATTTAACAGTGAGAGAGACTCTTTCGGTTGGTGTGAATTACAAACTGCTCGTCGAGTTGTTTGTCGTGAATGCAAAGATGACAGGAATAAACGAGTAAAATGAATATTTATAAAGAGTAGCGTGACATGTAACTTTTCAAGCTTCTAGCACATCTTAGGTATTATTATACAGATGATAATATACGCATATAATACAGTTTTAATCAGTGGTACGTAAATACGGTTAAAAGTGGTTTGCTCGTAATTTACAGTTTCGAGTTACGTTCGGTATGCAGTAATCCGCTAATTTTACTATTGTCAACACGAAAACGTATGTAGATATAGGTACAGTGTGATATTGTTCTCTGCTAGGACCACTTGTATGTCTTGGTAGTAGCGAAGCAGGAATGTAATTTTTGACTTTCATATAATCAGCGCTTTGATTCCGTTGCTCTTTCGAATCATACTGAAAGCAGAAAAACAATAGTGGCAAATAAATTCGAAACGAATGTATCACAATGAAAGACTACAAATAAACAAAATTCACGAACATACATAGAGATGGCATGCACAATGAGAGGTACAGATGGAATAAAGCGACGAGTAACAAACAATTCTTTGAGGATTATCGCTCGCGGCGTCGCGTCGTTCTTCACGGTTTCGTTCAAATGATAACGGCAAGAAAATGATTCACTTAATTCGTCACTTAAAAAAGAATTGCTTGTTGTTGAATAAAGTTAGCAATGACTATATTGGTGACAGATGATTGTCGACGATCTTGGTCAGGTTTTTAAGCCTTACATGAATCAGGATGTGGCTTCTCCTCGGCCACCATCAGGGCTGCACTCTCTGCCGGCGGTATGTGTCCCTCTAATGCATTCACACAGTTTAGCATGCTCCTGCAAAACATCACGCGACTTGTCCAAGTTTCCGCTTCTTCACACATTTCTATCGAATCTCTCCATCACTTCATTACATCCCGGACGTCCGTCGGGGGGCATCGGTTCAACATGCACCGACGACGTCGTCGCGTCGTAGGACCACGAGAAGAAAACAGTACCCCGGCTCATCGACTCGTTAATTCAGCTAATCAATTTACCCGTACGTACGTCTATTTTTATTCAATTACAATCTGGATTCGAATTTCATTTATCTTTCTACGTTTCTTCGGCACGTAATAACAGTACCTTTACAAAGCTACCATTAGTCGATCTTCGATTTCGCCTATTTTCGTTTTAAACCTGCAGGGTCCTTTTCCTCATCCTCGCTACAAGAAATGCTAATTCATTTCACAGTTTCTAGCTTTTTAAATAGGATCACGATGGTTCACTGGCCTGTGTAGTAGACTTAAACATGTACCTCTCGCTCGTATAATTATTATTATTATTATCCAACTTCAATATTACTGTTTGCTGTCGTACGCGTACTCGTCGCCGATCGTTAAAAATGTGAAAGGAAAAATGTATCGGCGAAGATAAGAAGCACGTAAGACCTTTCGATGTCTTCGGCGCGACGACTGATTCTTAATTGATTTTCTCTGCAAGATAAACAGAAATTGGGTCAAAAGGCTTGACCAGCGATTAAAAAAAAAAAAAGGAAGCTCCGCGTCGAGGTCGCGCTTACGAGTGGGAGAGAACTGAAACCGGTAATTAAATAAACAAACAGATTTATTTTACAACATGGAATATATGTGTATATGTATAATATTCTTGTTCGTTCGTTTCATGAATACGATCTTATCGGTGATGCCGAAATATTCGTTCATTAATATAATATATGTATGTATATATTTATAACGAGTGTTCCAAAAAGTTATTTTCGTTTTAAGTCTTAAACGTTGGTGTGTGAAGTCAGTGATACAATGACATCTTATAGCAGTTCGTGTGCTACGAATATGCTAAGTCGTTGCTAATAACAATTAGTTTCGTTAGATTGACTGGATACGAGAGAATCTACAATTATAGTACTATTTTCGTTTCGTTTCTCTTTACAGCGAATGGCCTTGGCCATTCGATTAAAATCGTTCTCGATTGATCAATTGATTCAGTTATTTATTATTATGCTTTGTCAGTAGCGTGGGTATGGTTGGCAGTGGTGGCGTCTGATAGGACGGTCTCCTTGCTAGAGTTAGTGGCGAGCTCCTCTTCCCTGCAATATAATAATGTTACATGGCCATCGAGCCTCGAATCGAAGTTTCGTTTTAAACGGTTTTTTAAATGGTTTTTGTTCACAGCGAAATCCTAGTTTCGTACCGTACAAATAAGCTTTTTATTCTAAAGAAATAAAATACACACGCATTATGCATATCCTATAACGAGAAAAGAGGAGAGAAGGAGGCGGAGATCTAAGGGTGCTAGAACCATAAATCCCGTCTTTCAAGGGACGTCAAAAAAACCTTCAAACACGTGTCCCCTAAAAAAGCCTTGTGATTATGTTCGGCTCTGAAAAATAGCCTCGTTTCCGATCCTGGTTCAAACACGGCGAGTTTCGGTGGAAAAATCTCGACGTGTATTTGAATCAGGTCGAGTTAAAGAGATCGTTTAAAACGGGCGTCTCAATGAATTTAGTGAAAAATCTCGATCTTTCGGCATTTTCAATGAATGAATATTTGCATATATTTGTTCCGGCGACACGATTTCGCCGCGTGGTACGTAAAAGTACCGCAGTTACGATCAATGCGAATGGACTATCAATGAATTACATGATTTCGAAAAAAGTCGCTTTCAATCGGTTGCTGCGCGCTAATTGCAATGATTTCAACTGCCATTGATAACTGAGTTGTAGCGAATGAAACTTTTATTGTGATCGTATATGTGTATTGTTCCTGTTATGTGAACGATTAATAGTTCTTTCTTTAATCTCACATTTTTCGATGAGTAAAGATAACGAAAGGAGACTTTACTAATTATAAATGATACACATTTCGCTAAAGTTTTTTTCTAATAAGAATAATAAATAATTCCTTTTCAATAATTTATCTATTTGCTTGTCTCGAAAAATTTCGTCATTATTAACTGTTTAATAAATCTATGCTTGAATGCAAGTCAATTTTTATTAGAAATTTTTACATACGAGTGCTCGCGGTAACACAGTATTTCATACTTCAGAAAAGATACAGAAAACTTTTTATACAGTGTGTCCCACGTAATACTTTTGACGATTTTTCAAGTTCGTCTTTTCGAATGGTACTACATATTTTTTGCATCATTTAATAGACCGTTTCCAGACAATTTTATCTTTTTCATACGCGATTTTAATCAGATTACGAGATATTGAATTCATTCTAATTTCTGTGGCGTAGGGATGGGAGGCACAACAGGGAGTCCCGGTGCGGCTAAGCCACTTGAAATAGATACGTACGATCTAATTCACCTAACTACTAAAAAAGAAACTAAAGTCGTTTATTCCGATGATAAAAACAATGTTATTAAATTTGAAATAGTGTGCGTCCTGTTTCTGGGTCTTAACTGTATTCATCAAACAATTTGTAAGTAGAAACAGATGGGTGATGAACGTGTGATACGTGTATGCATGTATGTACAATTAGTTACATAAATGCGTTTACTGACACAGTAAAAATAAAAAGTTAAACATACACAATCATAAATTGTTAAGTAGCACTCATTCGATCATAAAAGACAAGGAGAAAATTGCTTGTTCTGCTAATTCTATGCCAGTTGATAAACTAGCGTACGGCTGTTAGAAACGAACAAATGTAATAAAATTCCACTAAACCATAAGCAACCAATAGACCGGCTATAGATTAAAGTTCATTCGTGTGTGTACGTAATGAAAGGTTTGAACGCTTCGTCGAATGTTTCGGCAAAACCTGATTGTCCTCGGCGATAAGAACTGTCGGTGACAAAAGAATAGGAATAAATAAAAATAAAATAGTTAAAGCGAGTTTATCAAGAGATGCACTGATTAAACGAGAGGACATGAACGTAGGATCAGGTCCACGTCGATTCCTCACGTTAACCATCACGTTCTCCCTTATTTTTGTTCCGGTTCTTCTTTCCCTCTGTTCGACTATTTTATTTCTCGTTTTACACGAACGACGCTAAAAATATACGAATGCGAAGCGGCCGCCGCTGCTCTTGCCTGTTTCCGAGTGATATCATAAAACCTAACGTGTATCACTTTTTTGTGTACACAGAATCGATTGTCAGAAGTGATGATTTGTACGCCAAACAGTAATGTAAGCACTAACATGCAGTCGCACAGTACAGCGCCATAAACTCGTGCCAGCTATATCGACATGAAAAATTATTCAAAGACTTATAATATGTCGTCGAACATTTATCGGGTATCGATAGACTAAAAAGGAGCATGCTGTAATAAAATACAAGGCTCCAGGAAGGAATTAAGTATTATAGTCGGGGCTGTTATGTACGGAGGACCGTCGTCAACGAGCTGTTCAAGGAGCACCGGGGTTCATTTCTCATAGACCGATCGCCGGTTCCTCTGTCACGTACCGAACACACATAATAGCCCTGAGGAACTATGTATTAGAAACTGTGAAATGTATCTTCGCAAAAGAAAAACGAAAAATGACAATTTGTCGTAAACACGAGTTATACATGCAAATCTATGTACGCCCTCTCGTCTTTACGATTGTAATAATAATTAATTAGCCTGGCTGGTAGCACGTGAGACGGGAGCTCACATCAGCTAATATAATATAAGTAAAGATGTTTCAACATGCCAGGCCGTTAGAATCGAACTTTTCAATGATAATTATTCCAATAGGCGGGGCAGGATTATTTTTTTTGCTTGCGCAAGCACGTATATAGATCGACCATCAAATTCGACTTGTAGTAGTAGACTTCCATTTAAAGCCCCGGTTTTCGCACGCACGAAACGGGGACAACGTAGCCGGCGACAAATTGGTAACAGCTCGGAGCAAATGGAAGAGCGTAACGAACGGTTTGCTAAAAAATAATCCTTTCACTTTCCAAGACGACTAGTGGTGTCTTTGGTAAATCGACCATTTCATGCAGATCAAATAATCTTTCGAAACTCGTAACGATAATATCGTAACAAAGCCACCACAGTAACAGGAAATCGTATTGCGTAACTCACCCATAGAGTCTGCTGTCCCTTAAGCTGCTCCTGCTCCACATAACATAGAAAGCACAATTACGGTACATGTAGAAGAGAACCTCTGTTAGTGAACGAAACACGGAAGTAGTATTTAAAAGCTTGACCAACTTTTTACCAGAACCATTAAATAACGATTTATTGAAATAATACATGTACAGTACGCTAAATAAACAAATGTAATAATAATAA